ATCTTCTAGACATTCAACAAATTCCTTTTCTTGAGATCCACAACCAACCTGATTTTTCCAGTCCACTTGAATATTGAAGTGCCCCATGATTATTGTAATAGTGCCTTCCTCACATCCCTTGTCTACCTCCTGATTTATTTTCTGTTCCACATCCTGATTACTGCTAGGAAGCCTGTATATAATTTCCATCAGGGGTTTTTTCCATTGTGTTTCAGGAAAACAACTCAACATCATCTTCTTAAAGGCAATTACAAATGGACAGTAAGTGTTGTCCTCATGATCAATAGCCACATGCCATGAAAAAATCATTACAGAAACTGACTGTAAACTTGAGAGCATGGAATTCTTACTTTACTACAGGGAAAGAAGTTAGGTGCTTGGTGACTATCAGTAAGTTTATTTTTATTCACTCATGGGACATGGACGTCAGTGACTGGCAAGCATTTATTTCCTGTATTTGGTTGTCCCTGAGAAGGCGGTGGTAAGCTGCCTACTTGAACTGCTGCAGTCCATGTGCTAAAGGTACACCCACAATGTCCTTAGGGAGGGAATTCCAGAATTTTGACCCAGCAACAGTGAAGGAACGGCAATACTTTTCCAAGTCAGGACGGTGAGTGGCAAGGAATTTGCAGGTAATGGCGTTTCTGCTGCCCTTGCCCTTCTAAATGGAAGTGGCCATGGGCTTGGAAGGTGCGGTTGAAGGATCTTTGGCGAATTTCTGCAGTGCATCTCCTAGTTTTACACATTGCTGCTGAGTGTCAGTGGCGGAAGGTCTGAGCGTCTGTGGTTATAATGCCAATCAAGCAGGTTGTTTTGACTTGGATGGTGTCAAGCTTCTTGAGTGTTTTTGAAGTTGTACCCACCCAGGCAACTGGGGAACATTCCATCACATTCGAGACTAGTGACCCGTGGATGGTAGATAGGCCTTGACTGAAAAAGATTCTTTCAGTCCTGAAGTTCTGCAGAAGAGTCATATTGGACTTTTTAATTCTTAATTCTGTTTTTTTAATTCTGTTTCTCTCTCCACAGGTGCTGCCAGACCTGATGAGTTTCTTCAACATTCTCTGTGTGTGTTCCAGATTTCCAGCATCCACAGTATTTTGTTTTTATTTTAGAAGACTGAGGTGAACTGACACTGTTTTCTACAGCACAGAGCAGTTGTTGCCTGCCCAGTACCAGGTTTGGGACATCTCCTCAGGGGGAAAAGGAGAACACAGTGGTCTTTGCCCTTATAGTTACTAATGATCTAGGTAGAACTAGAAAAGAGGTTCTGTGTAGACAGTATGAGAAACTCAGCACTAAACTAAAAAGTGGCACCTCAAAAGGTTATAAACTCTAGACTATTACCTGAGCCACATGCAAATTGGCGCTTACATTTAGAAAAATGAATATGTGGTTCAAAGACTAGTGTGGAAGAAGTAGGTTGCAGTTTACGGGACACTGGCAGTAGTACTGTGGAAAGTTTGGCTGTACTCTTGGGACAGTCTATGCTTCAACATTGCTGGGACCTGTGTTCTTATAAACTGTATTGCTAGGGAGCCAGAGAGGTTTTTAAACTAAATAGTAGGGCCGAGGGATCAAATGTGACAAGATGTGCTGTACCAAAGAGCTGAGACAAGATAAAAGAGGAAAACAATATGGGAAATAGGGTCTGAGGACAGCTGGAAGGTACAGAAAGGAAAAACCTAGGAATATCCCAACAATCAAAGACTTTCAAAGATAACAAAAAACAAAACTAGTGGCTCTGCATTGGAATCTGCATTGCATTCATAACAAAGTAAACAAATTGTTAGTGCACATTGACGGAACAATAATGATTGTCATTACAAGGATGTGGTTGCAGGAGGATAAGGATTGGGTCCTGAATATTAAGGGGTATATAACATTCAAGAAGAATAGAAAGTTAGGTAAATGTAGTGGGGTGGCACTGTTAATTAACGATGGCATTTGTGCAATAGTTAGAGATGACTTCCATTTAGGAGATGAGGATATAGAATCGGTTTGGGTGGAAATAAGAAATAGTAGACAAGAAGTTGCTACTGGGAGAGGCATACAGGCCCCCTAATAGTAAATAAAATATACTGCAGGAATAAGTACTAAAGAAAAAATATTAGGTGATTGCAATAAAGGGACAATGGATGACAAAAATCTACATATAGACTAGAAAAATCAGATCGGCGGAGTAGATTCGGTGAGGAGTTCACACAATATTTTTGAGATAGTTCCTTAGAAGAGAATATTCTGAAATTGAGCAAAGAACAGGCTTTTTAAGACTTGATATTGTATAATGCAACAGGATTAATTAGTGACCTCAGAGTAAAGGCACCCCTAGGTAGCAGCAACCACAATATAATTAAATTCTATACTTTAATTAAATTTAAATTAAATTTTACTTTCTGCTTGAATGGATCTAAGATTGGTATTTTCAACTTAAATAAGGGAAGCAATGCGGTCATGAAAACTGAGCTAACTGAAATGAACTGGCTTACTAGGCCATGGGATACGTCAATTCGTAAAATCGTACTAAGTTAAAGTCACCACAGTCCTGGAGGACCATAGGGTCGCTCTGTCATTAGAGAGACAGAAACAATCTAACCCAAGGGTCTCCATGCCTCGGGTGAGTGGTTAATTTGAGAAGGCAGGACTCACCCTGTTAGCATCATTTTGGAGCCATTGAGTCATACAGCACAAAAACAGACCCTTCGGTCCAACTCGTCCATGCCAACCAGGTTTCCCAAACTAAACTAGATCCACTTGGCTGCGTTTGGCCCATATCCTTCTAAACCTTTCCTATTCATATACCTGTCCAAATGTCTTATAAATGTTGTAACTGTACCTGCGTCTACCACTTCGTCTGGCAGTTCGTTCCATATACACACCACCCTCTGTGTGAAGAAATGGCCCCCAAGGTCCCTTGTAAATCTTTCTCCTCTCACTTTAAAACAAAACCTTCTAGTTTTTAAACTCCACCACACTAGGGAAAAGACCTTTGCTACTCACCCTATCTATGCCTCTCATGATTTTATGAACCTCTGTAAGGTCACCCCTCAACCTCCTACGCTTTAGTGAAAAAAGTTCCAGCCTATCCACCCCCTCCTTATAACTCAAACCAGCCATCTAGCCAACTGAACTAACTGACATAAGTAGCTCAATAGAAACACAGTGGCAGGCATTAAAGGGGCTATTTTAGAATAGTCAGCATGCTGCAGGATTTAATTCCCATACTGGTTGAGATTAAACTTAGGTTGAACTCACCACCAGTCTGTATTCCTCTAATGAGAGAGCAGCCTATAGACCTCTGGGACTATGGAGACTTTCACTTTCTACTTACACTTTCTCGTACAAAGCAAACTTCTAAAGGGAGGGTCCACCGTCTATGGTTCGCTAAAACAAATTAGGGAAGGCATCAAACTTAGGGAAAAAGCAAAGAAATGTGCAAAGTTTAGTGGCACAACAGACGGTTGGACAGAATGTAAAGATCGCAAAAAATGTCTGTGTGGAGTTTGCACATTCTCCCCATGTTTGTGTGGGTTTCCTCCGGGTGCCCCGGTTTCCTCCTACAGTCCAAAGATGTCCAGGCTGGGTGGATTGGTCATACTAAATTGCCTGTAGCGTTCAGGGATTTGTACATTAGGTGGGTTACAGGGGATGGGTTTGGGAGGGTGCTCTGAGGGTCAGTGTGGACTTGTTGGGCCGAAGGTCCTATTTCCACACTGTAGGGATTCTATGATGATACAGAGGTGGATAGATTCTTCAAGGGTATTGAAGGTTAGAAGGGGTGGATGCAGCATTTTTGCTAATCTTTCCTTAAACTTACAGTGCCATTAGAGAAAGAATTGCAGGATTTTGACCCATTTACACTGAAGGAATGGTGACCTACTCCCTAGTCATGAATGGCTTAGAGAGGATACATGAATTAATATCCAACCAAAAAGCATTGCTCAAAGTCTAAAGAAGGCTTCTTCAGGCAGATGTTCATTGTCATTTTGATGCAATAAATGTTCAACTTCTTCCATTGTAATTAAATATAGCAGTCCAGAATACAAACTTTGTCCTTATAATTGGATTTGCAGTTAATGGGGTCCTAATATCAATATCAAGAACATAGATGAGTTTATTGTATTAAATAAAGAGAATGGTAGTTATCCTGGAATATTAATTCCAATGATTTGTTACTAGTGACACACATTAGGCACATCTACAGTTAGACTGTAAATGTGTCAAATTTTACTTTTCCTAATGCAAGAAAAACTCTAAGGTTCAACTCAATGACTGTCAACTTTGCTCAAAAGGAGTCTCCATCCAGCTTCCAGAACATTGAGCATAATACAGCTTAATACATATCTTATTTACAATGGCAACTGACATAAAAGGGAAAATTGCACTTTCATTTCCTATTGCAAGTGAAACATATTTCAACTATGTTCACGTCACAAAAGCCCTGGTTTTGTGTGATGAAAAAGTTCTGCATCTAATGCATTGTCCTAGCAGAGGCTAATTCTGTTCTTTGTAATAGAAAATGCCACTGGTACTACACATTGCCCCAGTAATACCTTAGCCTTGTCCTCCATTACGTTACATATTGATCCTGTGACATTTTTATGATTAATCACAGTGCTGTGACTGGACTGAACCTGATTCAGTGAGTCAAAGACAAATGTCACTCATGCCCGAATACTTTGTACCTGCTTATTCCACTGCAGCAGCCACCAGTATTATTCCGCCAAATTAGATAAGGCAGGCCAAACTCAGACAACTCAATTTGTTTTTCAATCTTTCGCTTGAAGCCAGGAGCAACAATACATTCGATAAGTTTCCAATACTTGTCCAGTCCATACAGCTGCATTGATCATCAAGCAACTGCGCGCTTTGTCTAAAGGTTCTAATTCAATGCTGACTAGACATTCCTGCGTGGGATGCGGCACACATTCAAAAGACATAAAAATATCAACCTTAAAAAATTACACGATTATTTTTACATGAGCCTCAGCATGAATTACCTGCGAAAGAGAGCGCCAGTCCATGTGGGCACTGCCAATGTAGATATGCTTCCTGTCCACCACCCAAAAGGAAGAACGAAGCTCACCACCAATAATAGGAGTCATATTGATGTATTTCACCAGTGCACCTGGATGTTAAACAGCCAACAAATTGGCATTAACTGCTACTGATCAATGTCTTCAAGCTACATAGTGAAGCATACATGACACAAAATGAAGATCTCTCATCACTAACTCAATAGATTGTGGGTTTGATGGCAGAATATGTTATCAATATTATCACATAAATATTCTTTTAAAATTGGGCAGGCATAAAATTAAAAATATCAGAAGTAGTTGCACTCAAATAAAATCTCATATTATAACCTTGTTTTATTGTTAATAGAAAACCAGCTCTTCATTGAATGATACATTGATGAGGTCAGCAACTTGTCCTTACTAACACTGTTAGCTAACTAAATATTATTCTGCTCTCACTGTGGGATTGTGTTTAAGCTGACCTGTCCCTTTGGCCATGAAGTTTAATCACTGTAAACGAGCCAAGCTGAGTTTAATTGCAGTTTAGTGACAGAAGTTTGCAAGTTGGATGACAACTATAAATTTCTGGCTCCAGGTCAGAAAGGCCAGCATGAAATTTAATAAAAGATGAAAGCAGAAAGTGCTGGAGAAACCCAATGGGTCTTGCAGCGTGTATGAAGAGAGAAACATTGCGAGTCCAATAACTTTTCTTTGGAATCAAATTAAGATGAAATTTAATATATTCTTGACCCTTGGAAGTAGCAGAGCTGAAGGGTGACGTGTGAAGTGTGATGATATCATCCAAACCTTTGCATAGGCCAGATGCAAATTCTGTTGCTTTATTTAAAGAAAAATGTTGGACACTATGTATTGTTTGGAATTCTGTCCCTTTAAAGCCCCATCTCAATCAGCCCCATCGTTTCTGGCATTTCACACCGGAGGTGATGGGGGGATGCTCAGTTTGGTCACTCACATATGGACAATTGGACAGTAATACGGAGCAAGGAATCAACCAAAGTATTTCCTTTATTTGTGCTGTAGCTATGCCAGGTGTAATGGATGCCTTCATCAATCCCTTGGTCTGCAGCAACTTGCTTTTCCTTAGTCTTCCTGTATTGTCATTGGCATTGAAGGGAAACCTTCTAGAACTGAAGTCAACAAAAAAAAACAACAGCCCATGCAAACTGCTGGAGGATAAATGAAGCATTATTTAGTGTGAAAAAGTTAAAAGACGTCAACTTCAAGTGACCATTCAAGGGTTAAAAGCATGTGAGCAATTACAACTCCCAACTGAAACTGGCACTGTAAATGTAAGCAGAATGAGTGAATTATGAGCCAGCTGCAGGTTTTGGAGACAAAGGAAGAGATTTAAGAGAGCTATCACTCCTTACTATAATTGGTGATGGTGATTTTAATGTGTACACTATATACAGCAGGCAAGCCAAAGGATGCACAGGAAGTCAGAGAACACTATCAATGCGTAAATAGACAGCACACCTGCTTCAGGAGCTTGAGTAGTTAAGAAAAACAAACAAACTTAAATTTATATAGCAACATCAATAATGTCAGCATAGCCCTGAAACAATTTACAGCCAGTGAAGTACTTTCGTAGTATAGTCATTGTTCTAATTCAGGAATCACAGCAGCCAATTTGCACACAGCAAAGTCCCACAAACAGCACGTACATAAATCACTGAATAACCTTTTCTTGAAATCATGTCGATCGAAGACAGGGGTTAAACCAGTCATAGGAGACTGGATTTATACATCGGCAGTGTAAAGAGTATTCCATAAGAAGACTGCCTGTGTTCCAAATAAGAAAGCGACATTATAGTCAGTTCCTAGGTTCAATTCCTGGTCTGTTATGAAGTAATCTCAGACGCAGACCCTATACTTGTCTTTCATAGGCCTTGTTAGGGATGGTAAATTTGGTCAGCGTTCTCTCCCTTCCTGATACCCTGCCAGAATATCTGAGCATGTAGATGCCAGAACAAAGGAGGGGTTTCACTTGACTGCAATGTTCTCAATGGACAAAGAGCCTCTCAAGATTAGGACAGAACCTCATTGTAGCCATCAGCATGGTAAGTACCCCAAGGCAACATGCTGAGAGGATCCTCTTTTCATTTAAGCTTATAGAAGGACTTTCCAATATAGTCTGTAACAGTCTCTCTGCTAAGTGGCATTGACAAAACTCTAACCCCATTTCCACAAACTGAAGGGTAGAACTGTTCATGGCAGGAGAAAGAGGGAAGTGAAAAACTGATAGAAAGGGGAGAAAGGAATGCCTAGGAACACTTAATTACCACTGACACTAATCGCTAAATATATCCCCAATAGGGAACAAGAGAGATTGACAGTTGGCAGTTTCATTGGATTTTTACCAAATATATAACTGTAGGAAACTGATAATTAATTATTTGATTATGAAGTATATGGTGCTTAGCTTTAGCACGCAGAATGCTCTGCATGAAACATCAGGGAGTATTTCCAAAATAATAACTAGCAGCGAAGACGTTGCCCTGTGAGATCAAAAACCATGGCAAAATGAGGTAGTTATACAGAATGCAGTTAACTGCCAATCTGAAGCAATTACAATCCTTAGGTTTCAGAGGAACCCAAATGTGTATTTTCTTAGTGAGCTTTTGATGGCATTATCATCAATGTGTCAAGGGAACTGACTGTCTGTGATGGAATTAAATCGCAGTGGTTAGTTCTCACTTTATAGGAATCATGTAGGACACAGTCCTCTTGCGGTTGTCCTCTAGTTCCAACAACCAGAGAATAAATCTGAGGATGAAGTAAAAAGAGATTTAATTATGTTGAAGGGTTATAATTAAATCGAGCTCTGATTAATTCAATCACTTGTGTAGGGACTCAGTAGTGACTTTCTCGCCTCTGTCAAAAGGCTGAGGATTCATAGAATCTCTACAGTTTGGAAGCAGGCCATTCAGCCCATCCCAACAGCATCCCACCCAGACCCACACCATCCCTGTAACCCTGTATTTCCCAAGGCTAATCCACCAAGCTTGCACATCCCTGGACACTATGGGCAATTTAGCATGGCCAATCCACCTAACCTGCACATCTTTGGACTGTGGGAGGAAGCCCATGCAGACACGGGGAGAACGTATAAACTCCACACAGACAGTCGCCTGAGAGTGGAATCAAACCTGTGTCCTCTGGTGCTGTGAGGCAGCAGTGCTAACCACTAAGCCACCGTGCCAATTCAAGGTCAATTCCAGAGACCAAAGCACCAAATCTAGCCTGCCACTTTGGTATAACACTGCATTACCAGAGGGACTCTCTTTCTGATGCACTGCTGTGTTAAACTGAGGGTCCATCTGCCCTTTCAGGTGCTGAATCCAATGGCACTATTTCAAAGAAGGGTAAGGGAATGCTCCCTCAATACTCCCCCCTTGAAGAGCACCGCTAAAGAATCATCTGGACATTATCTCAAAGCAGCTTGTGGGATTCAGTACACAAACAGGTTGCCATAGTTCTTATGTTACATGATTTCATTCAATGTAAATTGCTTAAGGACATCCTGAGACCCTAAGAGGGGATATATAAATGCAAGTTCTTTCATTCTCTAATTGTTTAAGCCCTTCAAAGAACTTAAATTTTAATTTGGAGGAAATGAATATTGGCAAGATTTTTCACTCATTGACAGTATAACCAACATTACAAGTTATCAGCTCCAACAGCTTGTTAAGTACCTTTTCACCTTGGTCATTATAATTGATAGTTAAGAAAAAGGCTTTCAAAATCTTTAAAGTAAATATTTCAGAGTCAGTTCCAAAGAAAACCTGTAGGTAAAATTAATTCTCCAATCAATATCTGCTCTATTCCCTCTTTAAAGCCATACAGCACAGAAATAGCCCTACGGCCCATCAATTCTGTGCTGGTCAAAAACAAGCATCTATTCTAATCCCATTTTGCACCACTTGTCCCATAGCCTTGTATACCTTGGTAATGCAAATGCACATCCAAATACTTCTTAAATGTTATGAGGGTTTCTGCCTCTACTGCCCTTACAGGCAGTGAGTTCCAGATTCCCACTGCCCTCTCAGTGAAAACATTTTTTCTGACATCTCCTCTGAACCTCTTGGGCTTTACCTCAAATGTATGCCTCTATGTTCACAAAGGGAATGCAGTGGTTCATTCCACACAAAGATAAAAACAATTCCATGCCTCAGTTAACCTACTGAGGCATTTCAATCTCTCCCTGCCTCTCCACACTGTCCTGCTTTCTTCATCAATCACAGTTAAAGTCACGACATTGGGAAAAACTGAAAATCAATTTAGGATTAAAATCAGACCTCAGCTTTACCATTGAAGAAACTTGACTACATTGGAACATGAACATTTTTTTTGAGAAGAGTCTTTAATGATGTTCCTCATTGAGGAGCTCAGTAGCCAACAAACCTAGACAATATTTTCATGCAGTAGTTGTCTAGTGAGAAGCTACTGGAGGCCAAGATTGCCCAGTAACAGTTGATAGGTAGTTTTAATTATTAGTTCTGAAGGTGAGTCATATTAGACTTGAAACATTAACTCTGTTTCTCCACAGATGCCATCAGACCTGCTGAGCTTCTCCAGCACTTTCTGTTTTTGGAAGTATTCACTGATGGACCACTTGCTTATCCACAATTTTAGGGTGAAATTTTTACTTACCATTCACTTTCAGATTTGTCACATCCTGGGATCCAAATTGGAATTTATTAATCGGGATTCTCAGGCCAACGTTACGAGTCTTCAATTCCTGCAGCTTCTCAAATATATTCTCACCCTGGCAAATGGCATTTACAGATTAAAAATAAAAATCATATAGCATTTCCAAATCTCAAAGAAACATTTGGGTCTCTTTTCTATCTGCTCTATTTGTCAAAATGCAATCTTCCAGTATTATCCACATTTACATATTTTTGATGTAAGTTGTCCATCGAACTGGGCAGATTTATCTGGATTCCCTCTGATTGGTCTGATGCCCTTACAAATCCAATCAGGCTGCCCAGACAAAGTAGTGGAATGTGCCCTAAACTCATCCTGACAAATGTACGAGCAGTTAACCAGCTCCTACAGTTGTCAATACTTTATAAACAGTCTACAAACACAGTCCTTCTTGATGTTGCTCACAAAAGATACAATTGTCTTTTTGGATCAGAAAATTAACAGCCATAAATAGATGCCAGCTTCCTTCGTAGGGATGACTAAGATTATCTGCTATGCTTCAGAAACCCAGCCCTCAGCCATCGAGGTACACTAGAAATGAAGCCACAAATACCTTACTGTGTCAGTCTGCTAGTTTGAAGTATTATAAATATTGTCATTACATTTAGTAGCCCACATATGTAAGTATATAAACCTATCGTAGTAAAGATATTCTATTTCAAACAAAATTGGTAGAACAACATCTCCACTTCTGACCTTCCAAACCCCACAAGCCCTATTGCCCAGAAGAACAACAGCAGCAGGTGCATGGGGCACCATGCCCACTGTTATAAAGCGGAGGTTGACCCTCCCTCTGATAATTAAAACCGAAACACCCAGAGAGGCATGCTTCACCCTATAATCTGCTAAAAGGAGTGTGAAAAGTGGTATAACCTGTCTCTCATCCCTAATCTGTTATAAAGGAGCGGTTAAATGAAATAAATTCCTGACACTCTCTCTATTATCAACAAGTAATAATTTATTTATCTAACTCTAACAGTGAACAAATTAACTGAACTATTAACAAACCAAACAATTCCCTTCTAACTACTAACTATTCCCGAATAAAAGTTCCACTCATATAAACCAAAATTTAAAAAAAATTAGAACTATGTCTCTCCAAATAAAATCCAGGTTACATCTTCAGGAATGTTCTGTGCCTTCTCTGTTGATCTTCTGTCAGGAAGGTTCTCTGTGAATTCTTCTGTCTGGAATGTCACCTAAGAGTGCCATGGTACCTTTATTTATTAGATGATGCTTTCGCTTAGAGAGCTGATCTCTTATCAGAAGACAGTTGGTTCTCTCCCGATTTTCCAAATGCCCTCATCTTTTATACTCTTGATGACATATCAATTTCTTACAATAGGATTGGTCCTATGTTGTCAAAACCATCAAATTTAAATTTAATTGGTTTTTGGTATCTAAGGGCCTAGTTTAAATTAATTGGCTAAATTCAAATTTGCTGTCTTGATAAAAATGCTGCTTTGCCTGCTAACTCTATAGCTTTTTGATACAAATGTTGCAATTCAGATGCTCGGTGCACCTGCAAACCCACAAGCTGCCCATAGACCTTTTCTTTCTCTCTAAGTCTAGAAAGAGCACATCATCTTTTCAAGGGACCACACACTGCCTTCCACTTATCATTTTACAAACATTAATATTTTAAAAAGACCAAATTTTAATGTCCTGCCTTCCAATCAACAAGTATTCTACCCAACTTCTCGACACCCACAAGTTCCCCTCCAGCTCGCACACCGGACTTGTAAATAAGTCACTATTCCTTCAGTTATTGGTTCAAAATGGATGGAACTCCCTCCCTAACATCACTGTAGATATTTCTTCACCACAGGAATGGCAGGACCTCAAGACGGCAGTTCACCACCACCTTCTCTAGGGAAATTAAAAATGAATTATTACTACTCGACTTAATTTTGCAAATGTGATTTTTATTAATATTTTGTGTCACATTTTCTATATGGAACGTATGAACAGGACTAGGCCATTCAGCCTCCTAGGCCTGTCCCACCACTGACTGATATCATGGCTGATCCACAACTCAACCCCAATACCCTCCATCTGAAGTATGTAGGATTAGTCCTGTCCTCTAGTCTTCAAACAATATGACACAGGGATCATTGGTAATTCTGGAGTCAATTCTCTCTCCAGACTGGGAAGTGAAAGAATGCATGTATCAGATGGGAGGTGGGTAGTGGGTATGCTTCACTTGTGGAAACTTACGTTGTCAGGACATTAGCTATAAAACAGTCTAAAGGAACCCAGAACTGCAACAGCGCGCTAAATGGGTAAAGGACAGCTAATGAGATATTTAACACGTTATGGTTAACTGACCTGCCAATAATGTGACACTTGTTGACCATGTAACTACTGTCAATTGTTGTAAAAACCAATCTGGTTTATTCATGTCCTCTGTGGAAGGAAATCTGTCATCCTTAACTGGTCTGGCCTACGTGTGACTCCAGACCAAAGCAATGTGTTTGGCTCATAAATGCCCTCTGCGCAATAAACGCTGACCCAGACAGCGATGCTCACATTCCATGAAAAGTACAAAAAGGCAGTATGCAGCAGTGTGCCTATATGATGGGCAGTGGGTAGAGTGTCATACACCAGGTGGACACTTCTTCCTGTTGCAGAGTACAAGGAGATACACACCAAATTTGTACCTTCGTACAAGTGCTAGATGCTACCTGATTCACCGAACAGTGAACATGAACAAGTCAACTCCCTGTACAGAGAACATTAATTTTCCACATCATTACTTCTCAAGTATTACAGCTGTAACGCTCTGCCTCAGAAACTGATGGGTTCAGGTCTCACTTTGGAGACGTAAGCACATACTCTCGGCTGACATTTAGGCAGCACTGGAGAGTTGCTGCACTGTCACATGAAACAAGATGCCATTTGAATCTTGACTTATACCTGCCTCATTTAATTTTGAGTCTACATCATTAAAGTATGAGTCGGTAATCAATGTCCTAAATCTTGAAAGAAAATTAGATCCCAGAAGTAGATTTCTATGTCTCCTGTAGGCTGAAAAGTATCAGGTTTCATTCCAACACTCACTTATCAAACATATAATGAGATCATTTGATTCACAGGTACACAGATTTTCATTAAAATGTTATATTTCGATATTGTAGCAACACCAACCTCATAGAATTCAAGGTTTGCTGATTGCTATTACATTTTATGGTTCAGAAATATATTGTCTTCCACAAATTATGAGAACCAAATTTTCTGCATCTACTTGCTGATTCAGTTGAGTCACTTACCCAGTGGCTTAGTGAATGGTTTTGGTCCAGACGACCATTTCTTAGAGCCCATTTGGAAGAGACAATATCAACACCGTGCAATGCAGCATCCAGCAAGTCCATCCAGCCCTGAAACAAGGAAATGTGCTTTGTGGTGTTGGCGGTATCGTCCAGCTCATCTGGAATATTTTCAACAAGATGAACCCTGAAGAGAAATGCAGAATTGCTTCAGGGTTTCCATGTAAGATACAAGAGATGATTTGCAAAAGAGCACTTAGTTTGCACTTACCTGAGGAAAAAAGTAAACTAAAATCCCAACCTCATTTTCAGCTATTCATAAATAATTGAAAATAAAGAATCGGATGCATCAACCCTTAACTTTAAGCTACCTTGAGCTATGCACATTATTATCACACAATATATCTGTGTATAAATTATCCAACGTCAATAATAGGGTAAAAAGCCCATATATAGGGTAATAGTGTCCCAGCGAAGCTCAACGCAAGCTGGAAGAACAACACCTCATTTTCCATCTGGGGACCTTGCAGCCCTCTGGACTCAATATCGAGTTCAATACTTTTAGGGCCTGAACTCTCCCATGTCCCAGCCCCCTACCCCATATACCAGGCCTTGTTATCACATAGCCTGCCATTACACACTACCTATTGTTAGCCACTAACAGTCTCCATTAACAGCTATTCGCACTCCTACCCAGATCGTTATCAACGCCATTATCTGTCCAACTGTTCTTCTCTCTCTTTGGGCACAATCCCCACTTATCATTTACTCCTTACCCCTCCTCCCACCCCCTATGCTGCATATAAACTTACATTTTCCTAGCTACAAAAACAGAAGTTGCTGGAAAAGCTTGGCAGGTCTGACAGTATCTGTGAAGAAAAAAACCAGAGTTAATGTTTTAGGTCCGGTGACCCTTCCTCAGAACTCGAGGGGAGAACTCTGAAGGATTTCCGAGGAAGGGTCACTGGACCCAAAACGTTAACTCTGATTTTTTCTTCACAGATGCTGCCAGACCTGCTGAGCTTTTCCAGCAACTTCTGTTTTTGAAACACATTGTAAGTTGTGTTTACACTACAGCTTTGTTCAAACGGTGAGGGAGGCTGTTTGTAGTGGGGGGGGAACAGCCCCAGGGGGTGTGTACAGAGTGAGATTTGGCAGGTAACAGGATTGGTTTGTGCAGTTGTGACCAGACATCAGCCTGACAACAACTATCTGATTGATTTCTGAGTAGTTGGAAAACTTGTGGGTGAGAACAATATTGGCAGAAGCCTTCAGACTGCTGCAAAGAGAGATGGTGTGTCTTTCTCTCCAGTAAAATACCTAAAATCTGAAGAAAGCCTATTTATTTTCCCTTACCAGTTGCTGTAAGATGTGGCTTTTAACAAGTTACTAAGAGATTCTGTTGTCAATATTTCAATTCCTTGTGTCTCCTGTATAGAACTGAACAGAACCTGGAGAAAAGAGATTGAAGGACAGAGAGAAAAAACAAAAATAGAAATTGCTGCAGAAACTTAGTGCTGTCTGACAACATCTGTGGACAGAAAGCAGAGTTGATGTTTCAGGTCCAGGGTCTGAAGACGGGTCACTGGACCAAAACATTAACTTTGTTTCTCTCTCCACAGATGCTGCTAGACCTGCTGAGCGTCTCCAGCAATTTCTGCTTTTGCTGAAGGAGAGAAAATCCTGGCAAGCAAAAGGATCATGGGCCACTGAACTACTTCCCCATATATATTCTCTCCAACATAACACTGATTTTATTTGTCTATCTGTTTCTGTTTATGTGTGCGTGTGTATGCACGTACTGGTATGTATGGGGGGAACGGGGTTTAAAATCTCAAATCCAACCAGAGGGTGTTTGAGTCATCGTTCATTTGCATTCTGGGGGTGGACTTCACAGTCAGGGCGGGCAGGTAGTGTATTGTGGAAGAACCTGCCATTAATGAACAGTTAGCCTCAAAGACTACTGTAGAGCTTCCATCCCTCCTTGCTCCTCTAACCAAAATCAAAAGTGGGGAGGCAAGGTTCAGACCAAACAGAAGGTCTGCAGCTAGAGTTCCGCAGGTAAAGGAGCGCAAGCCTAAACTGTTTCTGGAAACTGGTGTTGGTGAGTAACAGGAAAGTTTTGAGAAATTGTTATTGGAGCAGAGAGCATCAGAAGCTTCGGCTTGGTCTTAAAATGATCTAACATTGTAAGGATTAATTAACTTAAAGTGGTAACACACAGCAGGAGAGCTCCAAATTGTAGTCTGCACCTCAATGTGGGAAGCCTGGGTGCTGCATGTGTGCAAGAAGTATTTCCAGCTGCAGCTCCTGGAAGCCGGAGTTTTGAAGTTGGAGTGGCGTCTGGGGACACTGTAGAGCATTACAAGGTGGACAGTGTCGTGGATAGCATGTAAGGATAGCAGGCTCAGACTCCACAGGCAGGAAAGGAATGGGTGACCACCAGGCAGAGCAGGAGGGCTAAGCAGGGAGTGCAGGAATCTCCTGTGGCTATTCCCCTTCAAAACAGATATACCGTTTTGGATACTACTGAGGGGAATGGCCTCTCAGGGGATAACAGCAGCAGCCAAATTCATGGCACCAGGGTTCGCTCTGTTGCGGAGGGAGGGAGGGATAGACTTGGAAATGCTACGGTAATAGGGGATTCAATTGTAAGGGGAATAGACAGGTATTTCTGTGGTCGCAAATTAGAGGCCAGGATGGCGTGCTGCCTCCCTGATGCTAGGGTCCTGGATGTCTCAGAGCAGCTGCAGGACATTCTGGAGGGGGAGGGTGAACAGCCAGGAGTCGTTGTACATGTTGGTATTAACAACATAGTAAAAAAAGGATGAGGTCCTAAAAGCAGAATACAGGGAACTAGAAAGAAAGTTGAAATGTAGGACCTCAAAGGTAGTTATCTCAGGATTACCACCAGCACCATGAGCTAATCAGAGTAGAAACAGCAGGATATATAGGATGAATACGTGGCTGAAAAGATGGTGTGAGGGGGAGGGTTTCAGATTCGTGGAGTGTTGGGATCAGTTCTTCGGGAGGTGGGACCTGTACAAACTGGACAGGTGGCACGTGGGCAGGACAGGGACTGATGTCCTTGGGGGGATACTTGGTGGAGTGGTTCGGGAGGGTTTAAACTCGTATGGCAGGGGGATGGGAAGCAGAGGAGTAGGGCAGAAGATGCAGAAATTCAGGGACAGGTAGAAACCAGGGAAAACATGACTAGGAACAAGAACAAGCAGGGAAACGCTGTTGCAAAGAGCAGGGGAGGTGGCCTGAAATGCATGTGTTTCCGTGCAAGAATTGTAATAGGCAAGGTAGTTGAACTCAGAGCTTTGGTTGGAACTATGACATTATTGCGATTACACAGACTTGGCTGAAAGAGGGAGAGCATTTCGGGAGTGGTGACCAATACTGTGAGTTTTAAGATACTCATGGATAGGGATAACAGCATTCCTCAGGTGAAGGTGTTAAATTGGGGGAAGGTGAACCACAACAATATTAGGCAGAAACTGGACAGTGTTCATTGGAGGCAGTTGTTTAAGGATAAATTTACATCGTGCATGTGGGAGTACTTCAAACGGCAGTTGATAGGAGTTCAGGAGCAGTATGTTCCTGTGAGAATGAAGGATAGGTATGGGCAAGTTATGTGAATCTTGGCTGACCAGGGATGTTATGACCTTGGTCAGAAAGAATACTGAAGCATATGTAAAGTCTAGGATACAAACTGAAGAAGCCCTTGAAGTATATAAGGAAAGTAGGAAAGAACTTAAACAAGGAATTAGAAGGGCTAAAAGGGGTCATGAAAAGTCATTAGCAAACAGGATTTAGGAGAATCCCAAGGCTTTTTGTACATATATAAAAAGCAAGAGGGTAGCCAGGGAAAGGGTTGGTCCACTCAAGGACAAAGGAGGGAATGTATGTGTGGAGCTAGAATAGGGGGGTGAAGTCCTAAATGAATACTTTGTGTCAGTATTCACCAAAGAGAAGGAATTGGTGGAGGATGATCTCAGGGAAGCGAGTGTCAAGTTTCTAAGCTAAGTTGCTATGAAAAAGGAAGAGGTGTTGTGCATCTTAAAAAGTATTAAGGTAGATAAGTCCCCGGGTTCTAATGGGATCTATCCCAGAACATTGAGGAAGGCAAGAGAACAAATTGCTGGAGCATTGACAGATATCTTTGTATCCTCTTTGGTCACAGGTGAGGTCCCAGACGGCTGGAGAGTAGCCAATGTTGTCCCACTGTTCAAGGAGGGTAGCAGGGATAATCCTGGAAATTACAGGCCTGTGAGTCTCATGTTGGTGGTAGGGAAATTATAGGAAAAGATTCTCAGGGATAAGATCTACACGCTTTTAGAAGCAAATGCACTTATTAGCGATAGACAGCATGGTTTTGTGCAGGGGAGGTCGTGCCTCACTAACTTGATCGAGTTTTTTGAGGACGTGATGAAGATAATTGATGAGGGAAAAGCAGTTGATGTTGTCTACATGGACTTCAGTAAAGCCTTTGACAAGGTCCCTCACGACAGACTGGTACAAAAGGTGAAGTCACATGGTATTGGGGTGAGCTGGCAAGATGGATACAGAACTGGCTTAATCATAGGAAACAGAGAGTAGCAGAGGAAGGATGCCTTTCGGAATGGAGGCCTGTGACTAGCGGTGGTCCACAGGGATCAGTGCTGGGACCTCTGCTCTTCATGATTTACGTAAATGATTTGGAGGAAAACGTAGCTGGTCTAATTAGCAAGTTTGTGGACGATACAAAGATTGGTGGTGTTGCAGATAGTGAGGAGGATTGTCTGAGGATACAGCAGGATATAGATCAGTTGGAGGCATGGGCAGAAAAATGGCAGATGGAGTTTAATCCAGACAAATGTGATGTGATGGATTTTGAAAGGTCAAGTACAGGTGGAAATTATGCAGCGAATGGCAGAACTCTTAGGAGTATTGATATGCAGAAGGATCTGGGTGTGCAGGTTCACAGATCACTGAAGGTGGTAGCACAGATAGATAAGGTAGTAAAAAGGCTTATGGCATGCTCGCCTTCATTGCAAGGGGCATTGAGTATAAAGTCAGAAGTCACACGACACTGGGTTATAGTCCAACAGGTTTATTTGGAATCACACAGGCTTTCTGAGCACCGCCCCTTCATCAGGTGCAGTGAGAGAGCAGGGCACACAGACACAGAGTTTATAGGCA